GCGTCGGTTGATTTTTTTTTGCTCTCTCCGTCAAAAAGCGCGGCGCACGTCACGCAGAATCAGCGTATTCTCTCTCAATTATATTTATAACCAGCTGTGTAATACTGAATGAGCCAGTTGTATTCGAAATGTTCTAAGCTGTGACACATACTGCAGCAGCAGCAGCAGCAACAGCAGCAGCAGTGAAGCGGCGGGCAATCATACGCTGCTGGTGCACATTCGAGTTCACACTCGCTCTCGGCGCGTTCGGAACTTCCAACGCTAAAACGAGGGTCATTATATGCTGCTATTTAACGCCCGAAATATTTCCAATGAAAAGATGCTGCTGCTGCTGCTTCTCGGTGCTTCGCGATGAGCTGCAATTATACGTGTCGCATTTTTGACTCTCTATAGTTGAGTCCCTGCATATAAAGTCCAAAAAAAAGAAGAAGAAAGAAGAGAGATGAGTAGAAAGGAACGTCAAGTGTAAAAATTCGAAGTAGGTCATAGCCAGAGCAGCATAGATACGCAGATAGAAGATGCGCCGAAGAATGAAAAGTATTTGAAAGCCTAAAGACCTATGTGCGTTCTAACGTGTATTAGTGTTGAAAAGAGGCAAAATTATTCCAGTCACTAATTCGTGTTTTTGGAGGTGAAAAAAGAGTTTCAGATTGTCTCTGAGCAAAAATGGGGTATGATTAGTTTCTTATCACGTTGTCATTTAACTCGCCGTCTCGGCGTTTACGTGTCAACTTCATGCATGAACGCGACTTATTTGGCGTCGCTCAATTCGTAAAACAATCCGTTACAGGAACTATCGCAACAGAAAATATGGTGCTATTATACTATTGTTTTCACTTTTCCACTTGCAGATTTACTCACAAAGGTACTCGTCATCTAGCGGTGGAGATTTTTTTTCATTTTCATTTAACTCACTCAAATTGTTCGTAGCAATTTTCAGTTAAAATATTCAAATTGGATTATAGTTTTATATCTTTTTAATTCCATTTTTACATTAGAAAATATATGTGATTACATTTTTTTTGCATTTTCGTGTATATGTAGAACAAAAAAAATCAGTACTCATACCTTGATTTTTATAACGAACATTTCATTGTACATGTACCGTAAAAAAATGATACAGTATTGGTTACTCAAATTTGAATGTCTAATTTTACGTTAAAAATCTGCATAAAACTCACAGTTCTTTTTCTTCAACGGTGTAAAATTATTATCAGTCCACTCGCACGTCTGCCACGAACGATAATTAAAGGATTAAATTTCTATAGCCTCGGCGTTATGATTAAGGGTCGTGCGCGGGTATACTGCTTAAAAGACGGCATTCATATCCGTTGCATTTGAATGCGCCCAAGAGAAACGTCATTATTATATTATATAATTGAAGATTATCTTTTGTGCAGCGAGGCTTTCACTTTGTACAAAGACAATGGCGCGCTCTCTCTCTCTCTCTTTCTCTCTCTCAACGTCGAGATAGGTTGACCCGTTGTGAGCGAGCGAGCGAGCGAAGCACGCGCAGCTTTGAAGTTGGCAAATGAAGTTTTCGTTTTCAATCGGCAGCGCTTAAACGCGCGTATAGTATATACATCCCAATTCGCAACATCGGATACAGCACACGGCGGCATTATAATACCTCGATATTTTACGCGAGAGAGACTACTACTGCTATACCATTATACTCGCGCGCGTGCGCGTTAATCTCTATCGCGAGGCGAAATTGAATATTAATGGCTAAAGCCGCACGAGAGAGCTACTACCCGCACGAATTTACGCGCGCGCTCGAGTTAAGACTCGTGATTAAGCGCGCGTCACACAGCAGCCGCACCAAGAGACGGACTCTTACGTGCAATAGTGGTGTTAGTAGTAGTATGGTACGTGCGTAGTTTCGAGTTTAAGCGCGAGAGCATCATCGATCTTGCGCATCGTACGTGGCTGCGGTTCTCTCTCTCTCTCTCTCTCTCTCTCTCTCTCTCTCTCTACTATATACACAAGCAGCAGCAGCAGCAGCCCCGCACGACGCGCGTATCATTAAAACGATTGTTTGTCGTTTTCCCGAATTTCAAGTGGTAGACGTGTACAGCGACGTTGAATGCATCGAGAGGATCAGGGCTCGAAAGGGAGCTTAAAGTCGAAACGAAAATTTTGCATTTTGGAAAAAGGATTTTGTTACTCCTTTATTTTATTTTTTACCGAAATGCAGTTGTTTTCTGTGTGTATTAAATTTTTTCCTCTCTTTCATTTCAGCCGGCAAATAATATATTGTTTCGGGAGCCACTTGTAATATTGTAGTATTCGTTCTCAACGCGGGTTGGGTACAAACACCCACGCGCGCAATATATGTCGTGCCGCTGCTGCTGCCGCTACCACTTGCAACCCGAGCGTATGCCATCTCTGATGCAGAGTGGTTTAATCGTATTTACCAGCAAATTGAGCAATAAACGTACGTACGCGTATATATGCCGCACACACACAGGCGTACGTTCACATATGTATATATCGTCGTCGTCGTCGTCGCGCATATTAACGCTCGTGCGCACATATGAAGCTGACCTCGGCGGGTTTCCATACCGCCCGAAATGAGGCTTTGGGTAGAGACACACGCATGTGCATATAATACGTAGGATACGCGCTGCATACACACGCGCGTTTATATATGTTAATGATCGTTTCAGGGCTGAATTCCCGCTCGCTGCTGCTTGTGAGCTTTTGTATATTGACAATTTTTTTTTTATCTTCTCGTTGTACTACGCATTCTTGAAGATATTCATTGTTGCACACAGCCCCTCGAGCGTCGAAGTGCGCGTCTCGAGCTTTTACAATGTTAACAGAGAGTTCACTTTGCCTTCCAAATCGATCTCTTTCAAGTTGATTATCGAGTAAAGGATCTATTCATTTGTTTCTCTCATCCTACGCGCCTTCTTTTGACTTTTCTAATCAACATTTAATTTTTTTGACAAGTAATCTAATTTGTCCGGTAATGAGGATTAAATGTGCATGAAATAAAATAGACTAGCACTGCTGTAAATTTCTTTGTCTAATGAGCTTAAGTTCAGGATTTCTCGTAAATTAAATGCGCACCGATAAAGTTGATATCGAGACGTACTTTTTTTCTACTGCAATAAATGCAGAGAAAATTTTTTTAAGCTCATTACCGCACAACTGACTCTCTTTTCATTTCTACTGTCTTTGAAACAATATAGAGTCCGCAGCAAAGTCTCGTCATTGGAAATAAAATAACTTTCCACACACACACACACACACACACACACACACACACACACACACACACACACACACACACACACACACACACACACACACACACACACACACACACACACACACACACACACACACACACACACACACACACACACACACACACACACACACACACACACACACACACACACACACACACACACACACACACACACACACACACACACACACACACACACACACACACACACACACACACACACACACACACACACACACACACACACACACACACACACACACACACACACACACACACACACACACACACACACACACACACACACACACACACACACACACACACAAATGTGGATCATTATGTATATAATCTACTTTTTGACGTTTACAACGTGTGCGGACATCTCGCTTTCTTGCGCTTCAAACGGTATTTTAATCTTCTCTTGGGGTTCTGCTATTCATGCAAATTGACATATCTACAACCACGACGACGCTGGGCATTAAGGCAAAGAGCCGCCGATGTCCTGTGTTACACAATGTATATCTTGGCTTTGTCCCTAGTGAATTTAATTATCCGCATATCCTATATATTAAATTACGTCGTCGTTATACACGCTTAAAAGCCTTATATTATTATACATATATCTACTTGAAATAAATTACATAAAATTGCGTAAAATAATAGGCGAAATTTTCGCTCTCTCTCTCTCGACACCGAGGAATTTTCATTACCATCGAAAGAAATCACCCGGTGGACATCGCGTCTATTCATGCGCTGCTGCTGGTCGTTGTTCGCCGCCGCCGACTACTATACTATACCTTATACTCGTGGAGAGATGGGATGTAAACCTTAAAGGGATTTGGTCTGGTTTAAGATGGCGCGTAGGCGTGTGTGAGTATGCTGTTTTCCGAGTGTGTGCGTGTGTATGTGTGAAGCAAATGTACGACTTCATCCAATAACGCGAAGCCCCCCAGTCGCGTGTAAGTGCATGCCTATTCTTTTTTTTTTTACTTGCATCAACAGCAGCGTTATGGAAAATCAATACGATTTTTTGTCTCGAGCATTATTGAAATACCTCTACGAATCTTAATGTCCAAACGCATACTCGAAGGCTCATCTTCAACAGGTACATCATAATTGCGACCGCAACAATAACGAGACTTTAAAAGCTCTCGCGTCCATGAGCTTTCGAGCGGCCAACTACGTAACGTAATATACCCTCGACCCGAAGAGTGAATATTGGGATCATAATCTTGCTTGCTTTCATTGTGTGCGTTATGTCGGCCACACGACGTATGTATACGCGCGCGAGAATAAAGCGCGAAAAGTTTTTCGACACTATATACGCGCGAATTGAAAGTTTATGTATATGCGCGCGTGAACCCAGAGCAGAAATGGGTAAAAGTTTGATTTAGAGTACTCGCGGCGGCGCGCGGCTCTGACGTTATTTTTTTTTATTTGCCATACACATATACTTCCCTCGACGTTCATTTCGTACATTTAATTGAAAATAATGGTTTTAATTTCTTTTCTCCAACAAGCTGCATTTGTATAATAACGTTAAATTTCCGAGTTATTTTGCTTAATAATAGGACCTCTATGTAGTTAACTTATTTTGTGCAGCAGCAAAAAAAAAAAAGAACCTAGAAAGTTTGGGGGGGAAATGAAAATCCTTTATGCGGAATGTTCTTTCGCCTCTATATTCCGAGAAAATAAAATATTAATTTTAATGAAAAACCAAAAATTGTTCTGCTTTCAGGAACCGCCCAAGTTCGTACCGAGCTGCTTGAGAAAATTCTGCGAGAGGTGAGTCAATAACAATTCATACATCAACAAATCGCGCGTAGCCCTTTACAAGAAGAAAAAACTTGATGTGTGTTATATTTATGAGCTTTCCGATTGGCGGCCCCACCGACTTCTTTATTTTCTATGTCAATTTTCTATTCCGACCTGGGCTACATACATACGCACACACGCGCGCATACGTGCTCCCCATTCACTTTACTCCAAACATGAATATCTAGTAGTAGTATATTCGCGAATTCGAACACACTACTCGTGTGCACTGCAAGCACATACCCCCGTGTGTGTGATCAGCAGCAGCAACTCGACCTCGATTCGTTTTCTTATGTAATCCGAGCTCTCTCTCTCTCTCTCTCTTTATTTTCGCGAAGAGAGCAGGGAACAGCAGCAGCGGCACACGAGAAAGCGAGTTATGTGTCTTTACTTTGCCATGCGATGCGAAAACTTCGTGTCTTCAATATTCACGAGTAGGTGCGTGGGTAGATGGGTAGGTATACCTGTGTGTACAGATGCAGATGCATCGGATTTGACAAACCAACTACTCTCGAGCTTTTTTTTTTTTTGTTTATTCTTTTTTATGTATTGACGTGTGGACGCGCGCGAGCTTTCGCATTTTTTTTCATACAGCGAATATTTTCCAAAGTTTATTTCAACGCAAAATGTCTCGTACTTTTCCTTTCCCTTTTTTCTTCAAGAATGTTGGAAAAAAAACGAACAAAGAATGTACCTTGGTTGTAGAGAGCGCAGCATGCCAACTATAGAGTCATCGAGTAATTAGCTTTGAAAGCTCAAAACGGAAAAATCCGTCGAAAACTCCGCGCTTTCGACACCAAGGGTTTTTCTTGACAAGAAAAAGTTAGTTAGTTACACTAATGTAACAAAAAAAAAAGTATAAACAAAAAAAAAACAACGAGCCAATGCGCAATTCGCACTGTACGTACTGTTATATAGGTATATGCAACAACACACACGCGCGTCTATATACTCGAGTAGAGTATAAGAGGCTTCAGAGTCGTCGTCAAGAGAGTGACACACAGAGAGAGGCGCGCTACGCGGCGTGAGGTATTAAAACTCCCAAGCTCTCGCTCGCTCGCTAGCTCGTGCGCCACGCCGCGCCTCGAGATATTGTACACAGAAGGAGGATCTAAAGCCCAGATATGAATTGCAGATCCAGCTCTCTCTCTCTCTCTCTCGCACACTCGCACACACATACGTACACTATATATGCGCACGTACAATCATCTTTGGTGTTTGTGCTGCCGCTGCCGCTGGCTGAAAGCGAAGGAGAAGAGTATAGAGCCGCTCTAGGGGACTTCATTGTTTCTCCACGCTCGATATTCTATTCTCGAACTCTGTGTGAGTGAGCGAGTCCCGCCAGCGAGTGTGTACTTAGAGACACACAGAGGCGTTTAATTTAGTCCTCTGGCCCTTGCGTGAATGTGCATTGCCGTATGTATGTATATATACGTGCATATAAGCTACTCTCCGCATGTGTTCCCTATTTCGCGCCTTTGTGCACCCAAGTGCGTAGTATAGTATAGTACTCGCGCGTGTGTACCCAAGTGCGATTGCGAAAATCTGTACACAGGTGAATTTTCGGTACAGCATAAAAAATGTATACAATAAGAAAGGTCGAGGAGAAACGCATATGCGCGCGTGGGTCTAATCGTGTATACGCTATTTTACAAGACAAAGAAGAACAAAGACACAAGCCAATCGACGGATTTCACGCCGAACACACATAGCAGTAGAGAAAACGAATATTTGCACGTACGCGCGCAAGCTCACTCGCGAGAGCTATGGAGAAAATGGAAAATATCACTCGAGTCTCCGGAAAAAATACGCGACACGTGACACACTCTTGTTTGTTCGTGCGCGCGTGTGTACGCGTGCGTGTGTGTTTGTACCAAAGGGCTGCAATCGCAAACGTAACGTACAAAAATAAAGAAAGAGACGGAAAAATTGGCCGCTGTTTTATGCGTATACGCACTACCACCATTTCCATCGGTCAAGGAAAATCTCGTTGGCCATTGTTATAACGCTTATAACGTCGAGTTTTTTTGTACCTGCGCGTGTAAATACTCTGCAGCTCGTCGTCGATTTTTAACGCTCGATCGTGCGGGCTTGTAAACAGCAGCAGCACCACCACCACCACGTTAGCCTATGAATTAATACTTCGCAATGCACCGGTATTATATACCGCATTCGTTTCACGAAACCTAGGCTTGTTGACTGCTCGCTCATAAATCACCTCTCTCTTTCTCTCTCTCCCTCTAGCTCTGACGAGTCACCTTTACTCACGAAAATTGGCCTGCCCCCGCAGTTTACGCGACGGCAGCAGCGGCACATACATACATATATACACGGCGAAATATGCACAGGGCGAAATCCCCGAGCTTTCCGCCGGGCGTCTTCACAGCGTCAGCATATAAAATACAGGTATACACCGTTGTGGCCCAACGCACGAGCACAGTCGAAGCCTCGTAAATCATAGAGAGAGGGAGAGCAGCGGCTTTTCTTGCTGATGCATCGTGCCTAGCTAGTATGTAGCGCTGCGACCTTATCAAACTGTCCAGCGATCTCGAGCGTATGACGACGACGACGAGTTGTTGGGCTGTTGCAAGATGCAACGTACCACCGACGTATGCGCGGCCCCACCGCATAATAATATTGTAAAGGTCAGCTTATAACGGTTTAAAATGATCGACTCGTTCTCGCGCTTGCTTGCTTGCTTATGCTTGGCGCTCGTTAACTGGAGCGTGAGGGTAGCGTAGCAGCACCAGCAGCAATTAAACCTTCGAACTGACTGACTCAGTGGAAACACGCGAGATCGAACTCGCTCTCTCTCTCTCTCTCTCTCTCTCTCTCTCTCTCTCTCTCTCTCGTGAATGCAGTGGAGTATTTATTTATCTTGTTTATATGCAGCCTTTAATTTAAATTTCCGGCGCAGTGTGCTCGGTGCATTAAAGCCACTTTTTCGTCGAGATTGAGCCATAAATATCATTAATGCGCGCTTGTCTTTCAACTATGCGGTGGTGGTGAATGCGAAGCTTCGTGGCTTACCGGCGGGTCGCATTGTCCGAATAAATTATATATACACGAAATCTTGTGCAGTTCTTCACCCCGAGTTATTTTATTTCTGTTCTTTTGATGCGCGCCACTATCTATGTATATATAAACACGCAGCAGTTGGTGCTTTTCTTCTTTTCACCGGGGATGAAGAGTACAGTAGTTGCACGTTGGTGAAAACGTTTTTTGATCTTATGAGCGCGCAGTTGTGTTTGTTCTTCGATAGGGTCAAGAGTCGGTGAAAAAAAAAAGGCACGAGACAGCCGAGGTAGGAGATGGACTGTTTTTTTTTTGTTTTTCTTCTTGATCTCTTAATATCAGTGAAAACCTCGAGTCCTAGCAGCTCGCGAGCAATTAACGCAACGAGATTCTCTTCTTCTTTCTCTTTTTTTTAAATGAGGATTTTTTTTTTTGGACCACGCGCGTATTGTGTTTGTATCTTTTTTTTCTTTTTTTTATTTGCAATTACGATAAATGGTGACGCAAACTGATTTCAAATTACCAGTAAGTAATGCATCGTAAAGTTTTGCAAAGTTTTCTTCGAAAAGTCGAAAAAGAAGTATTATACCGAAAGAATTTAATCAAACAACCCTACTTTTGATGTATCTGGTTTTCTTTTTATTTCTCGAATCACAACGATGGATATACCGAAAAACTAATCGAAACTATGCCATCGCACGGCCTGACGAGCATGTGTAGAGAGAGAGAGCGACGTTATAGGCTGAAAGAAAAACGAATAAAGTCAAGTATCGTTCTATCTTTGCCTCCGAAGCTGGTTAGTCTCTTTGTACATGTAATAAGAAAAGAAAAACTCGCGGATGTCTCGGGGTATGGCGAGCGGGTTAACTGGCAAAGTTAAGTACTGCTTCACTGCGCAATAGTCCGCGTACTCTTTTCTTCTTCGTATATTTTTTTTTTTGTACAAAAGATATAATGACCGGTGGCATTTTCTGCACTTTTGCCTTCTTTTTTTTTAATTCTGTTTTTGTTTAGTCGTTCCTATTACTCGTTTAAATATACGTTAAGTTAACCAGTAGTTGGCCTTTCATGGCATTAAAGCTATTGCAAAAGCGTAATTAATTTTTATTTCAAAAATCTTTTCACAAATTTTCATCGTCTTTTCATTACCGCCAAAGGATTTATAAAACATAATCCGCTCTTTATATTCGACGCTTACACATCCACTGTAAGAACATCATTAATTAGCGTTGTGCTTGGTATTCACAAATAAAATATCTAAAAGTCTAGAAAAATTTCATCGTGTTAATTCTGGAATTAATTCTAAAATTAATTATTTTACTAATTAAAAAAGTACATCCACTGTTTAAAATAAAACAACGAATAAACTGCTTAAAAACTGTTTGCACTGAAAAAAGACTGTTTCTTTCAAAAGAGAAGATTGGAAGATGGAAAGTTTTGATTTTTTTCGTTCCACGTTCATTAGGAGAACATGATCGGAGAGAAAGTGTTCGAAATTTTGATTTGGACCGAATTTGATGGGTATAAGTGAAGACAGTAGTTGTGAGCGGAGTCTTACTCGTGATTCATCCGTCCACTTTTAAAAGAGAGAATTCCGCAGCTGCACTAATCAATCATAATGCTTATAAACTGTTTGCGATTGTCTAGATCTTCCTTTTTTTTTCATAGAATTATATTTTATCTCTCATTTTTCTGTAATAATCATTGATAGAAAAATGTTTAACATCCATTAAACATGAGATACATGACGTCATTTCTGCAATGATACATTAAAATAGAGTACTTATTATAACTGTTTAGTTTTGATCTTTGCAAGTATTAGTAAATGAAATATAATTGATGCACGAATAAACTGGCCAAGAGCATATTCTGATGTTTACGTCGTGCGTCCCTTTCACACGACCTCCGCCTGTGTTACCCAGCATGCGACGTTTTGTCGTTCGCGCTAAGTTATTCATCGCATAGTCACACTGTTTTTCACAATAGAGAGAGCACGCAGTTCTTTGTGTTCTACGCTAGTCTTTTTGTGTTTGGTTAGTTTGAGATGTGAAGTCATCGCAGAAAAATAAGTGAAAAAGATGGAGTCCAGTGGTTTATTCAACTGCGCTGTCAGGTAATCTTCATTTTTTGAGAGTGAAATATTACAATGAAATACTTGAACATGTTAAGGTTATTTTAGGGTGAAAAAGGAGCCTAGCGATGTGTCGTGCACTAAAAATAATTGGGAAATCCTTGAAAACCGCCAACTCTCTCCATTTCCACCGGAAAATTCAGTAAGTGTTTAAAATTACATGTAACTTAGATAGTAGTTGTTTTTTTTTCATGGAAATTCTCACGTAGCTTTGATTTTTCAACAGACCCATAAGATTCTAAAAGGTGATGAAAATCATAAAAATGAACTTGATAACGAAGTGGAAGTAGTTGTCGAATGTGAAGACGTCAAGCCGAACATTAATTTATTAGCTGTTACGAAAATTGACTGTGATTCACAAAGCCATTTGCAGGATGTAAATTGTTGTGATGGTAATAAATCACAAAAGATTATGAAAATAGAAACTGCTGGAGAAGTAAAGCAGGAAATTATTGATGGTGCTACAGAACAATTGAATTTGAATATCAACCGTGAAGTTGTCAAACAAAATAAAAGAATAAGAGTTACAAAAAAGGTAAACAACAAACATAACCTCAAAACACATGTCGGTAAGTCGCGAAATGGTAAAACCCACGTATGTGATTCTTGCGGAAAATCATTTTCAAGAAGTGACACTCTGAAAAGGCACTTTATTGCAACTCATCTCGGTATCAAAAAAGCAGCATGTGATATATGCGGCAACACATTTGCACGAAAAAGTAACCTCAAAATCCACATCGATACGATTCATAATGGTATGTCATACACATGTACAACATGCGGAAAGACGTGTAAACAAAAAAGTCATCTCCAAACTCACATCAAAACAGCACACAACGGTAAGAGCCATAATTGTGGTAAATGCGGAAAGAAATTCTTCTCGAGGTGTGATCGCAAAATTCACATCGATGCAGTGCACAACGATATCCATTTTGAATGTGATATTTGCAAAAAGACATTCAGATACAAGACCTCTCTCCGAACGCACATCGACTCGGTGCATAAAGAAATGATGCATGCATGTTGTAAATGTGGAAAGGCATTTGCTTGTAAGCCTTATCTCAAAAAACATATAGATGCAAAGCACAATAGCGTCACACATGCATGCGGTATATGCGGAAAGAAGTACTCAATGAAACATACTCTCAAAGTTCACATTGATAGTGTGCACTATCATGTCAGACGTACATGCGGTATATGCGGAAAAAAGTACTCAACGAAACATAGTCTCAAAGTTCACATTGATAGTGTGCACAATGATGTCAGATATAAATGCGGTACGTGCGGAAAGAAATACTCACGGAAGGATGTTCTCAAAGCTCACATCAATTCAGCGCGTCACTCGCGTACTACAACTGGATGATAGTATAATAGTTAATGTATATGTTTGGAAGACTAATTAAAAAATTTTTATTCATAATATCATGATTTCCGTCAACGCTATCTCTTTATGTAAAAACGTAGTTTGAGTTTCAAATAATAACGTAAACATCAACAGTTCATCAAGTGTTCGAAAATGTGTGTTCGAAAGTTTTATTTATTTTAATTTCATATGTTAAACACTTCAAGACAATGCCAATTTTCTAAATGTTAGTAATACCATCAACAGTTAATAATTATCAACATCCATTATGTCTATCAAGTAACAAATATTTCCAATGTAAACAGTAAAATAAAGGCATTCACGTAACTTTTTAAAAAAATATTATCTTGAATCAACCTTTTTTTTATTTTTTTACTTCGCTGAGTAGCAAGATGCTATTTCGGCGCCTCATATAATAAAAATAATAAAAATCAATCGACTCCAAAATAGCACGTGGCTGAACGCAGCACCGAAGTAAAATTGAATCCAAATTTAACTAGAATTATTCCTTTCCGTTCTTTGCTACCATAGAAATCGAACGAAGTCTAGTACATATTACTGAAAATAACTGCATCCTGTACTATTATAGGAAAATTGTACTTTCAGATGTCAACTTCCCTTTATCGGGACATCTTGTAAAACTGTTGAAATTACATTCGAGACATGCGAAACGATCGAACACCCCCGCTAGAAGGTTTTATTATAGTTATCAAAAAAAAAAAAAAACGTCACATCTCAACCGGAGATTGCTACCTCTACGACTCGTACACATCGAAACATTCTTACGCATCTGACGCTCGGCTGCGACGATCCTATCGTCGACTGCGGGCATTCGACAGACGTATGTACTCGGGCCTCGTCGCTAACTTAGTTAATCAACGAGTGGAAACCCACTATACATGTTCGCGACTGACATATTGATGAAATTTTGCCACTGGACACACAGCCAAGACTATATACTCACATCTCGCACACACGTATAAATGCGATCGATAATAGTCAACGTTATATTTGCCGCCTGTCCGTCGCACCGATTTTAATTACTCGATAATGCATGCTACGTATTACGGATAAATATTATTTCAAATCGAAGTCGAAGAGAGAGGAAAATAGCTGGATGGGAGCTGGAAAATGATGAAAAAAAAATTCTGGTTTTCCGCATAAAAGCTTTTGCGATCGTGCGCGACGACGAGGACGACAACGCTCATTATTATCTATATACGCGGGTACGTAAGGTATACCGTTTCATATCGTGTGTCGGATCGTTGCGCACGAAAAGATTCCAATCGAATGATCATCCGTCTAATTGCGTGGAAACTAATTTTTCTCTCTCGCTGCGCGCAGACCGGAACGAGATATCGATTAAAGCTCGCGCGGGACCGAAAGCTCGTAAAGCTCCTTTATTTTTCCACGATTTACGTATTGTCGCGTCGCTGAGCACCGACTTTTGCATTATTTAGATTATGCAGTGTATAAGATTGCCTGAAATAAACCTCCCGCTGAGTCTCTGTTATCCGATAAGGGGCTTCTCACTCACTACTCGATAGTAAATTGCCAATCTGAAATATGCACGAGCGATGATTATGTCCGGAAAGATGAAGAACCGCCAAGATGCCGATAGCATCTGCTCCTTGCTACTTACAAGCCCGGTATAAGGTTGAGTTTTTTTTCTCTTATCCTCGTGACATCTTATCCCGTTCGCTTACCATCCACATTTTACGTCTGATTGTTCTTTTGTGCGAAAATTGAATTCCAATCAGCAATGACGATGACGATAATGACGGTGTCTTAAATGTGCCACTATATAACCCGCTTGGTTTATGACCCGCGTGCGCTCAAGGCGACGAAGATATTTCCACCGATATTATACGACACGTTCGACGCGCGACTTTGATAACCCCATCTAAATGCTAAAAGTCGTGATACGCCGCGATTCAGGGAACATAAATAATATATAAAGCCTCTTTTTTATGGGTAAACCAAATTACTCTGCAACAGAAGAGTGAGTTGAAAGTATTTGACAAGGACATAAGAACAGGGGGGAGGAGCGAATCTTCTTCACAAAGACTTACACATCTTGTCGTCGTCGTCGCATGCTTGCTTGCGCGGACCTATATAGACACGTTGTATATAAAGTATATACGAACGAACGAACGAAGCAGCCTCGAAGCATTAAAAGTCCGTTAAAAGTCTTCTTCCTCCTCCTCCTTCTGTTCTCGCACAGCTGCCTGTCGGACAGAGAATGTTTTTAACCTATTCTATAGAGTGGAGTGAGAGCGGAAAAGAAAAAAAAAGAAGAATAGTCCCGGAAAATCGCCGACGCGCGCCATACCCACCCTCCTCTTTACGATGTTGTTGAAAAGTGCATCTTCTTTGCTGCTGCTGCTACTGCTTGCTGGCCTCCCATCTTCTCTCTCTCTCAGCAGTACCTTAACTTCGTTTCTTCCGTGAAATGTACGGCGCAGGGCACAAGTGGCCCCCAAGTAAGAGGAAGAATTAGAGGAAAAGAAGTGCCTTAATAAAATCAATGTTGACGTTGTTGTCGTCGGCGTTGCGTCGAGTACATAAGAGCTCGGACGTACGGACGGACGGACGATGCCTGTGCTCTCGCACCGTGAAAGAGAGGGATTTAGGCAAAGCATCGAATATGTGTTTTTCACTTTTCTCTCTCTCTCTCTCTCTCCCCTTCTACATATATACATAGTAAACCTTAAAAGCCTTTGGCCGCTCTTTACTCTTCGCAGTGGCAGCACCAGTGGCAGCAGCAACGCAACTAGATAATATATAGACACGAGAAATGCAGAGGGCGAGTATTTTCTTTGACGATGAGAAGTTTACTTTGAACTTGGACTGGTGAGAGAGAGAGAGAGAGAAAACGAGAGAAAGAGAAAAGCTGCAGCACTGCTCCGATCTGCCTTTTGCTTACGCGCGCGTGTGCGTAAGTGCAAATTTAAATTTTAAAACCCAGTGGTTTTCTATAGTCGTAGTAGTAGTACTAAATGTTACCTGCGTGCGCGCGCGCAAGAAAAAGGGCCATTCGCATGATAAAACGTTTCTCAGCTGCAGCGGCAGCAGTAGGCCGGCACAACTCTTCTTCTCTTATTCAGCATTTAATTAGTCCTAAGTGCTACGGCAAGCCTTGGCTTCTCTCTCTCTCTCTCTCATTTTCCTAAATGCTTTTCTCTCTCTCTTGCGCTGGACAGGTGGGTATGTACGCCCGAGTACGATGGATAATCGGCATGTATACACACGCTCGCTTCAATAAATGAACATCGACTCGTTTTTGTGCGAAGCCAGCGCGTGCCAATGCTGTAAACGATATAAATGTAAAGCTCGGCTGGACATCGACGGAGAGTATACATATATTTCGAATGTATACATCGACCAGTACGGAACAATGTGCCAACTAGCTGGAAAACGAAACACAACAAAGACCACACTGCTGCCGTTATTACCTCGGTCTCTCTCTCTCTCTCTCTCTCTCTCTCTCTCTCTCTAGCCGTGTATATGCCTCTAGGCTCGCGGTGCTGCGCGCAAGTTCCACGGATAATTATCCCCCAAAGTACTAATTGGCCGCAAACAGCAGTCGACTCGCAAGTCAAATACAATCCGGCATATTCGGTTACTCGAGAGGTCCCTCTCTATATATAACTATTCATTCCCGAAATTCTGCGTCGAACCTCGGAGCCTCGGACGCGAATTCCACTGCAGCAACAGCAGCAGCAGCTGTGTAGCTGTGGGCGCCTTGAACACAATATATTTAGCTCGATGCTGCTGCCTGTGCTGTAAGCTGACCCCCCGCGTGCGCGCAAGATCGATCCCACCCGCCGCGCGAGATGCATTATTCACTCTCTCTCTCAGCCGCCACCGCCGCGGTTTTTCCGCAACACGCGCGCGGCGGCACCGCGTGGCATATGATTGACTTTGGCTTATAAATTAATCGACGATTATACGAATGCTGGCCCCCGGAAATTCTTGACCTTTTGGCCTAGTCGTGAAACTACTCTAATTGGGTGTAAAGAATAATAAGGGCCGAGATCTCGCTGCTATAGCTACGCGGGAATTGTATTAAATGTACGAATCAGCTGAATTATTGAGGAATGTGTGCATTTGCGTTATTGTACGCGCGGCGCTTCTATCTGCTCTATTCGAGCGAACAATTTTGGACGCGTACATAATTCGGCAGCTGTGCCGGAGAGAGCCGCGAATTGTTGCCTGCACCGAAACTCGTAAACAAACACGTGTTTTCTTCTTCCTACGTATAGCCTGCAGCATTCCTGCTTAACGCCACGTTATTATCCAGATAAACGTCTATGTATATCTTCGCGCCGGGCGCAACTTCTTCCGCCGCTGCCGTCGTTGCGTTTCCTTCCCCTACTACTACTGCAAAAGCGAGCTCGCAGTCCCTTTAATAATTCAGCTCTGTAATGCACGAGAGCTCGGAGTGATATTTCACGATTGCGTCCGCGCGATTATTAGGAAAGTTTGTGTGTTTCGGGCTTTAAGGCGCACCTTTTCTATTACTCCGAGTCGCGAATGCGGTGTAAAATTTCGTGCGGAGCGTCGAGGAAATGCCCAAGATATAATACGGATGTGTATACGGTTCAAAAGCGGGAACTTCGCTTGTTATACCGCACTGTTCGAGTTTTATTTGCTGCGTTACGTCGAATTTTTTTTTTCATTCGCACGTTTCACGTTTTCATGATCCAAGCTCGAGGGACATTGAAAGTTTGATGAAATGAATAAATTAATATTATACAATCAGTGATATGAGAGCATCTTGATCATGAACATTAATTGTTTTGTCGATCGTAAAAAAAAGACATTTTGCTTTATATTCTTCATTTTCTTGAATAAAAAAAAGGATGATTTAACGCTCGATGTCACATAATGCCATGACTTTTATCAATGTTTATCTTTTGATAAAACATTTTTATAGCAATATAATAATCAACTTGATTGGAAATAATAATGGTAAATTACGTCATCACTTCCTTTCACGCTGAAAATGATATGGTGCATAGTACTAAAAAACAAATTTAACCTGCAAAATTTCATCAATATGAATAATTCTATAATATTATTGTACATAATATACACGAGCGCGGAGAACGCTCTCTTCTTTCTTATCCCATTTTGCCATTTTTCAATATTTAAAATAGAAAAATAAGATTAGTGGCGTGGCCATGATTCGAACGTATCCGAGGATAATTGGGG